GTTGTACAGGCAGTCCAACTCCTCCAGGATGGCCCATCAATACCTGCATTGCCAGAAGGTTTGCTGTGTCTCCCAGCACAGTCTCAAGAGCATGGAGGAGGTTCCAGGAGACGAGAGCACGGAGGAGGTTCCAGGAGACGAGAGCACGGAGGAGCTTCCAGGAGACGAGAGCACGGAGGAGCTTCCAGGAGACGAGAGAGAGCACAGGGAGGAGCTTCCAGGAGACGAGAGCACGGAGGAGCTTCCAGGAGACGAGAGCACGGAGGAGCTTCCAGGAGACGAGAGCACGGAGGAGCTTCCAGGAGACGAGAGCACGGAGGAGCTCCCAGGAGACGAGAGCACGGAGGAGCTTCCAGGAGACGACGAGAGCACGGAGGAGCTTCCCAGGAGACGAGAGCACGGAGGAGCTTCCAGGAGACGAGAGCACGGAGGAGCTTCCAGGAGACGAGAGAGCACGGAGGAGCTTCCAGGAGACGAGAGCACGGAGGAGCTTCCAGGAGACGAGAGCACGGAGGAGGTTCCAGGAGACGAGAGCACGGAGGAGCTTCCAGGAGACGAGAGCACGGAGGAGCTTCCAGGAGACGAGAGCACGGAGGAGCTTCCAGGAGACGAGAGAGCACGGAGGAGGTTCCGGAGGAGCACGGAGGAGGTTCCAGGAGACGAGAGCACGGAGGAGCTTCCAGGAGACGAGAGCACGGAGGAGCTTCCAGGAGACGGAGAGCACGGAGAGCTTCCAGGAGACAGGAGACGAGCACGGAGGAGCTTCCAGGGAGACGAGAGCACGGAGGAGGTTCCAGGAGACGAGAGCACGGAGGAGGTTCCAGGAGACGGAGCACGGAGGAGGTTCCACGACGAGCACGGAGGAGGCTTCCAGGAGACGAGAGCACGGAGGAGGTTCCAGGAGACGAGAGCACGGAGGAGGTTCCAGGAGACGAGAGCACGGAGGAGGTTCCAGGAGACGAGAGCACGGAGGAGGTTCCAGGAGAGAGAGCACGGAGGAGCACGAGAGGAGACTCCAGGAGACGAGAGCACGGAGGAGGAGACTCCAGGAGGAGACAGAGAGCACGGAGGAGATTCCAGGAGACAGAGAGCACGGAGGAGATTCCAGGAGACAGGCAGTTCCTCTAGGAGAGCTGGACAGGGCCGTAGAAGGTCCTTAACCCATCAGCAGGACCGGTATCTGCTCCTTTGTACAAGGAGGAACAGGATGAACCCTGCCAGAGCCCAACAAAATGACCTCCAGCAGGCCACTGGTGTGAATGTCTCTGACCAAACAATCAGAAACAGACTTTATGAGGGTGGCCTGAGGGCCCGACGTCCTCTAGTGGGCCCTGTGCTCACTGCCCGGCACCATAGAGCTGGATTGGCATTTGCCATTGAATCCCAGAATTGGCAGGTCCACCACTGGCACCCTATGCTTTTCACAGAGGAGAGCAGGTTCCCCCTGAGCACATGTGACAGACGTGAAAGGGTCTGGAGAAGCCGTGGGGAGCGTTCTGCTGCCTGTAACATGGTTCAGCATGACCATATTGGTGGTGGGTCAGTGATGGTCTTGGGGAGGCATATCCATGGAGGGACGCAGAGACCTCTACGGCCTAGACAATGGCACCCTGACTGCCTCCTGGTGCGGGGGTCCCCCGGGCTCCCTCCTGGTGCGGGGGGTCCCGGGCTCCTCCTGGTGCGGGGGGTCCCGGGCTCCTCCTGGTGCGGAGGGGGGTCCCTGGGCGGAGGGTCCCCTCCTGGTGCGGAGGGTCCCGGGTTCCTCCTGGTGCGGAGGGTCCCGGGTTCCTCCTGGTGCGGAGGGTCCTGGGTTCCTCCTGGTGCAGAGGGTCCTGCGGAGGGTTCCTCCTGGTGCAGGGACAATGGGCCCCGGAGGGGCCTCATGTGGGAGAGAGTATGCAGGCAGTTCCTGGAGGATGAAGGAATTGATACCATTGAATGGACCCCCCACTCACCTGACCTAAACCCACTAGAACCCCTCTGGGATGTCATGTTTCGGTCCATCCGACGCCCCCACATTGCACCTCAGACTGTCCAGGAGCTCAGTGATGTCCTGGTCCAGATCTGGGAGGAAATCCCCCAGGACACCATCCGTGGATTCATTAGGAGCCCCCCTCTCCCCCGACGTTGTCAGGCATGCATACAAGCACGTGGGGGCCACACAGACTACTGAGGACCATTCTGAGATGCTGCAATGACATTTCACCAACATGGACTCACCTGCTGCATCATTTCTTCACTTTGATTTTCGGGGTGTCTGTGATGGAAATGAAAATGATTGACCTACAGAGAACTGAATTCAAACGATGGGGCGTCCTTACGTTCTTCACTCATCCCCCAGGACACCATCCGTGGTCTCATTAGGACCCTCCCCCAACATTGTCAGGCATTTAAACAAACACGTGGGGGCCATACAAACTACTGAGGACCATTCTGAGTTGCTGCTGCTTGAATTCAGTCCTCTGTAGGTCGATCATTTCCATCAAACGATGGGGCGTCCTTACGTTCCTCACCCATCCCCCGTCCATGTCAGTTTAGAGATCCAGCAGGAGATTCCTCCCCATTGACATCTGATGGGTTTTCAGAGTCTTCCTTTCATTTTTGTGAGCAGTGTAGTAAAAAAAAAATAAACCCCAGTGGTTAAGTCACCAATCACACCTGCGATTTAACCATTAGCCGCCCGGCCAATGGCCGTTTGGCGGCTTCAGATGTGTCTCTTCACTCCGGGTGCACGCCATTTGGCGTGCTCCCGCACATGCGCCGTTTGCGCTAATGCAGAGCGGTGCAGCAGTGCGATCTGTCACCGGCCGTGTACCTCGGACACGGCCAATGACAGATCAGAGTACGGGCTCCCGTTGCTGGTACCATGTGACCTGCTGTGACCAATCACAGCAGGTCACATGACAGTTGTATACATGTATGGCTTCATTCATGATGCCATCCATTGTATATTAGTGCCTAGCTGTGAATGGTCACAGCTAATCACATGCACATGTCATGTGATTAGCTGTGACCAAATCACAGCTAAGCAAAAAAAAAAAAAAAAAAAAAGCTGAATGAATCGATTTCATTCAGGTAAATGCTTGCTTAAAGGAAAGCTATAAGCAAATTGTGTAAATAAAAAAAAAAATACTGATCACTTCCCCAAAGTAGTACAATGTTACTATGGTAACATTGTACTACTTTGGTCATAGTGAAATATTAAAAAAAAATATCTTAAAAAAAAATAAAACAAAATGTAATAAAAAATTAAATATAATAAAATAAAAAAAAAAAATATATATATATATATATATATATATATATATATATATATATATATTTTTTTTTTTTTTTTTTTTTTCTTTCATACTGTCACCTGTCAGTGTCGCTGTTCACCGCCATGCCAGTTATATGATGACGCTGTACTGCACTGGTGACAGTATGTAAAAAAAAAAATAGTGAAAATAATTTTTTTAATTTTTTCATTTTCCGAAAATTGACAAAAAAAAAATACAACTTCAAAAAACTCGCCATGCCTCTTATGAAGTACGTCGGACTGTCTACTCTGCAAAAAGGGGTCATTGGGGGATATCTGTACCGTCCTGACATTTGGGGGATATCTGTACCATCCTGACATTTGGGGGATATCTGTACCGTCCTGACATTTGGAGGATATCTGTACCGTACCGTCCTGACATTTGGAGGATATCTGTACTGTCCTGACATTTGGGGATATCTGTACCATCCTGACACATTTGGAGGATATCTGTACCGTCCTGACATTTGGGGGATATCTGTACCGTTCTGACATTTGGGAGGATATCTGTACTGTCCTGACATTTGGGGGATATCTGTCCTGTCCTGACATTTGGGGGATATCTGTACTGTCCTGACATTTGGGGGATATACTGTACTGTCCTGACATTTGTACCGTTCTGGGGGATATCTGTACTGTCCTGACATTTGGGGGATATCTGCACTGTCCTGACATTTGGGGGATATCTGTACTGTCCTGACATTTTTGTGGGATATCTGTACCGTTCTGACATTTGGGGGATATCTGTACTATTCTGACATTCTTGGACCTCAAGATATTAGATTGGCCGTCAGTACTTCAGGATTGATCAATACTCAGATCTATACCATAGTTTGTGAACTCTATAACTTTCCTACAGATAAAAATAATACATCCTAATTTGGGTTATTTTCACCAAAGACATGTAGCAGAATACATCTCGGCCTAAATTTATGAAGAACAATTATTTATTTGTAAACTTTTATAACAGAAACAAAGAAAAATGTGTTTTTGTTTCAAAATTTCTGGTCTTTTTTTGTTAATTTAGCAAAAAAAAATAAAAACCCCAGCGGTGATTAAATACCACCAAAAGAAAGCTCTAGTTGTGTGAAGAAAATGATAAAACTTTAGTTTGGGTACAATGTTGTATGACCGCGCAATTGTCATTCAAAGTGTGAGAGCGCTGAAACCTGAAAAATGGCCTGGGAGGGAAGGGGGAAAATTGCACGGTATTGAAACGGTTAAAATTGTGCGATTTGTGTGCCATTCGAATGCGATTTCTGAAGATTTTCAACAATTTCTTGCGATTTGTGGTGCGATATCCATTCTATTCTATGTATGTGACATCACAACAAAACTGCAGAAAAAGTCACGCATGAACTACTTTAGAAATGACGCTGCAGCAAAATCGCACGTGTTAAGAGGCGAACATTCACATTCATTAGCTGTGATTTCAATTAAAAAAAAAAAAAAAAAAAAAAACACCTGAAATCGCACCGGTGTGACCGGCCACTTGCCACCAAAAGAAAGCTCCGCCTCCAAAACTGGATATAACATTCATTTGGGGCTCGTGCTGCATGACGGAGGCGTGGTCAGTCAACCTATCAGAGCACTGAAGGCCGGCGTGGGCAGGAAGGGGTGTGAGAGGCCGGCAATGAAGGGGTTAATGTCCATATTTTGGGATACAATGTCACTTTAAAACACAGAAACAGGAATGTCTTACCTTCATTTAGAGTCAGCAGCAGGACATTGACCGTGAGAAGCGTCAGCAGTGATAGGATGGGAGTCTGCCATCTGTGACCAGGAAAAGTCAGAATTACATCCAAAACAACGGAAAACACAGAAATGATATAAAAGCAGCAAATAAAGTACAACATAGGAGTGTGAGATTCTGTATGATACCGTGACTGCCGGGACAACGGGGGGGGATGGACTAAAAACGGGAGCCAATCAGCTTCTCACTTCTGCTTGCTCAATTAGGACTTCGACAAGAAAACCTGGAAGCTGATTGGCTGCCGTGCAGAGGTGCACCCGATTCTGTAAGTCTCCCCCCATGTGCCACGGCTGCAGGATACACGGGAGGAATACAATGTTCATTTATACATGGGACCTTATTAGACAAAACACGTCTTCTGTTATGATGGGGGGCACCAGAGGGATGGGTTCTTGATCATGTGACCATCATGACAGCGGTCATGTGATCATTAGTCCATCTTGCCCCCCCTCCCAGGCATTATACCCCATTCAGAGGGATGCCAGGACTGGGCAGAAGGGGGTTAATCTAGGCTGGAAGTCTAGTAAGATAATAGAAAGTAAAGTTGACTTTAGAGTTGATGTTTATTGATCTCATCACAAGGATCATCCCCGGAGGAAATCACAGATATCACAAGGATCATCCCCCCGAAGGAAATCCCAGATATCACAAGGATCATCCCCCCGAAGGAAATCCCAGATATCACAAGGATCATCCCCCCGAAGGAAATCCCAGATATCACAAGGATCATCCCCCCGAAGGAAATCCCAGATATCACAAGGATCATCCCCCCGAAGGAAATCCCAGATATCACAAGGATAATCCCCCGGAGGAATTCACAGATATCACAAGGATCATCCCCCCGGAGGAAATCCCAGATATCACAAGGATCATCCCCCCCGGAGGAAATCCCAGATATCACAAGAATCATCCCCCCCGGAGGAAATCCCAGATATCACAAGAATCCCCCCCCACGGAGGAAATCCCAGATATCACAAAGATCCCCCCCCGGAGGAAATCCCAGATATCACAAGGATCATCCCCCCCCCCCCCGGAGGAAATCCCAGATATCGCAAGGATCATCCCCCAGAGGAAATCCTGGATATCACAAGGATCATCCCCCCCGGAGGAAATCACAGATATCACAAGGATCATCCCCGAAGGAAATCACAGATATCACAAGGATCATCCCCCGGAGGAAATCCCAGCTATCACAAGGACCATCCCCCCCGCAGGAAATCCCAGATATCACAAGGATCATCCCCCCAGAGGAAATCACAGATATCACAAGGATCATCCCCCGAAGGAAATCACAGATATCACAAGGATAATCCCCCGGAGGAAATCCCAGCTATCACAAGGACCATCCCCCGGAGGAAATCCCAGCTCTTCACATGGCAAGTGTCAGCAGACGGGGGATGAGGCACATTAGGAGGTACACCCAAACACTTAAATTCACCCTCCCCCCCAAAAAAAAAATGTTGACTGTCCCACACATTACATAACACCACACAGGCCAGCGCAGTAAAGGCACATTCCATGTTCTTGCATGTAAGTGACCCCAATGGTGGGGGAAGGGGGGGCTTTACATTTTAATTCGCTCCGGTGTAACGTTTTCTTTTTTAAACTTTTTTTTGCACTTTATTGTAGCTTTCACATAGGGAGGGGTGACAGTGACGAATCCGCTTTCAGGTTCTTAGTAGGTGGTAAAACAGAGACTTAGCTGCCCCTTGTTATTACCACCCAGCCGTCTGCATGAAAAGCACTTATTTTACTCTCTATGTTACCCCCTCCGTACGTTACCCCCTCCCTACGACACCCCCTCCCTACGACACCCCCTCCCTACGACACCCCCTCCCTACGACACCCCCTCCTTATACCACTCCATACATTACCCCCCTACATTACCCCCTCTGTACAATACCCCTCCCTATGTTACCCTCTCCCTATGATACTCCTCCTTATGATATCCCTCCCTACGTTACTTGCCCCCCCCACCTTCGTTACTCTCTCTATACGATACCCTTCCCTACGTTACCCCCTCCCCCTACGTTACCCCCTCTGTATGATACCCCTCCCTACGTTACCCTTCTCTACCTTCCCCCCTCCCTACATTACCCCCACCCACCGCCTCTCTGAGGGAGAAGCATGGAAGGAGATCAGTTGTATCTGTAAGCCGGCACCTTGTGACGTTTCCACACAAACCCTCCGCCAAGGTAAGTAGTTGCTGGCAGTGAGAGGGTTCAAAGTGACCGAACCCTTTATCTCCCGGAAAATCCAACGAACGCTCGAAAAAACTAAAGTGAAACTAAATGAATTCTTCTGTGTATAATATGGAAGATTTACTTCCTGTTGTGTCTCCAGAGTGGAAGTGAAAGAAAATCTCCCCCAATGGGACACAAACAGCAAGAAAAAAAAGAAAGAACAAAGTGAACAGGGTTGTAAAACTGCGGCTCAACCACCTGCTCTTACCACCCCCCCCCCCCCCGGGTTGTATAAATTCCTTCTTGTCGGTGAATGGTTGAGTCTGGTAGAAGTGTCCAGGGAAGCTGTGGAAGGAGGCAGGTGCAAGTGATCTCACGGACCACACACAGTGCAGAGCCGACCCTCGGGGCACAACACACACAGTACAGAGGAGGGAGGGGGATGATAAAAATGGATTTGTGCCGTCTGCGGTATTACCGGGAACTCCACAGACTTCATGCCGTTGGCTGGGAATCCTGCGTGGGGCTCATTACCTGAGCAGGTAGCGGATGACGTCCCAGGCGTCCCGTAGCGGCTCCACATAAAGTTCGATCCTCTTGTAGGCGACCACCAGGCTGAACAAGTCGAAGGCTTGCGTCTTGCTGGTACCTTGAGGGGACTCGGGGCGGGAGTCGCTCATGGTGGGGCTGTTGTCGGACCAGCCGGCGGCGGCATCTTTCTCGGAGGTGTGCATGCTGCGGGAGAGAAGAAGATCTGATGACACGGAATGAGTCAGACAACCCCCTCCACCCAACCGCGGACCACCCAACCTCAGAACCAGCAGACCACCCAACCTCAGAACCAGCAGACCACCCAACCTCAGAACCAGCAGACCACCCAACCTCAGAACCAGCAGACCACCCAACCTCAGAACCAGCAGACCACCCAACCTCAGAACCAGCAGACCACCCAACCACCCAACCTCAGAACCAGCAGACCACCCAACCTCAGAACCAGCAGACCACCCAACCTCAGAACCAGCAGACCACCCAACCTCAGAACCAGCAGACCACCCAACCTCAGAACCAGCAGACCACCCAACCTCAGAACCAACAGACCACCCAACCTCAGAACCAACAGACCACCCAACCAGCAGTCCACCCAACCAGCAGACCACCCAACCAGCAGACCACCCAACCAGCAGACCACCCAACCCATCACAATCCCTCCAACTAGAGACCTCTTTCTGGCCAAGCGTCTCATGAGCCTCCACAGCATGGTCCCGGTGGAGGGCGGGTGGTGGATGTCACCGCCAGGAACCCAGGAAAGTCCTAATCCGGAGCCAACAGAAACGTGCTCAAAGGTCAGGCGAGGAGCGAGGAGTGAGGAGCGAGGAGTGACGGAAGACGGGTGTAGGTGTAGAAGATAAACAGGTTGTCTCTGCGCTATGCGTGGGGCGGCACAGAATTGTCCTTTGTATAGGACGGGAAACACCTACCACCTGCTGACAGGTGACATCCTACTGCAGACACTCTCCGCACTCCTCCCTGTACTACCGGGGGGGGGGGGGGGGGGCAACATGCAGCGGCAGCATGGAGGTTCAACAGAGAGGAGGAAATATAGAAGGGCAGCACGGAGGAGGAATATAGAGGGGGGCACCACGGAGGAGGAATATAGAGGGGGGCACCATGGAGGAGGAATATAGAGGGGGGCAGCATGGACGGGAGGAATATAGAAGGGCAGCATGGGAGAGGGGGGCAGCATGGGAGAGGGGGGCAGCAGGGAGGAGGAATATAGAGGGGCAGCAGGGAGAGGGGGGGGCAGTATTGAGTAAAAGAGAACAGAGAAGAGTAACATACAGGGGAAACAGAGGAGTACCAGAGGGGTGTAGGATAGAGGGGTAGCACAGGGGGGCGCCATACTGGGGTTCAGAACAGATTCTTTTAAGGTTTCAGAAATTACGTTCCCCCCCGACTTCCCACATCCTCCCTCTGGCCCCCAAAGCAGTCTTGCACAGGTGTACCGGCTCCTCCCCTTCAGTCTTGCACAGGTGTACCGGCTCCTCCCCTTCAGTCTTGCACAGGTGTACCGGCTCCTCCCCTTCAGTCTTGCACAGGTGTACCGGCTCCTCCCCTTCAGTCCCCTTGCACAGGTGTACCGGCTCCTCCCCTTCAGTCTTGCACAGGTGTAGCGGCTCCTCCCCTCCAGTCTTGCACAGGTGTAGCGGCTCCTCCCCTTCAGTCTTGCACAGGTGTACTGGCTCCTCCCCTGGACTGAAACAGCTTCCTCTGATGTCACCGCACACTGTGAGCATTAGACGCTGCAGCCAATCAGATACAGCTCCACCTCATTTCCTGGCTTGAGAACGTCCAGTATCATCTAGATCTTTCCTCCCCAGCCTGACTGTCCCTGGCCCCGCCCCTTTCATTTTATTGCCTCCATGTGGGTGTTACCTGGGTGGTCTGCTGCAGATGTATTCTGCCTGGGAACGCCCACTTCTCCAGACTGACACCCACCCATCAAGGCATTCCTTTATTTGCATGACTCCTCCCCAGAGTCCGCCCACTACTTACGTCAGGACTGAGGGCTCCTGAGAGGAGTACAGAGGCCGGGTGTTTTCAGGAAGCTTTGTACAGCCCCCCACCGGCCCCTCCCACCAGCCATCATCTGCCTGCTTTGCATAGAAAAGCACAGAGACCCAGTGATGATGTATAGAGTATGGTGCACTGACACCAATGATGGGGCGCTACTCCCCCCACTGACACCAATGATGGGGCGCTACTCCCCCCACTGACACCAATGATGGGGCGCTACTCCCCCCACTGACACCAATGATGGGGCGCTACTCCCCCCACTGACACCAATGATGGGGCGCTACTCCCCCCACTGACACCAATGATGAAGCACTATTCCTCCCACTGACACCAATGATGGGGCACTATTCCTCCCACTGATACCAATGATGGGGCACTATTCCTCCCACTGACACCAATGATGGGGCACTATTCCTCCCACTGATACCAATGATGGGGCACTATTCCTCCCACTGACACCAATGATGGGGCACTATTCCTCCCACTGACACCAATGATGGGGCACTATTCCTCCCACTGACACCAATGATGGGGCACTATTCCTCCCACTGACACCAATGATGGGGCACTATTCCTCCCACTGACACCAACGATGGGACACTATTCCTCCCACTGATACTAATGATGGGACACTATTCCTCCCATTGACACCAATGATGAGGCACTATTCCTCCCACTGACACCAATGATGGGGCACTATTCCTCCCATTGACACCAATGATGGGACACTATTCCTCCCACTGACACCAATGATGGGGCACTATTCCTCCCACTGACACCAATGATGGGGCACTATTCCTCCCACTGACACCAATGATGGGGCACTATTCCTCCCACTGACACCAACGATGGGACACTATTCCTCCCACTGATACTAATGATGGGACACTATTCCTCCCATTGACACCAATGATGAGGCACTATTCCTCCCATTGACACCAATGATGGGGCACTATTCCTCCCATTGACACCAATGATGGGACACTATTCCTCCCACTGACACCAATGATGGGGCACTATTCCTCCCACTGACACCAATGATGGAGCACTATTCCTCATCATACGCAAGACATCATAGTCCCCCCAAAACTGGGAGCATGCTGCCCCGTATACATCATAGTCCCCCCAACACTGGCAGCATGCTGCCCCGTATACATGATAGTCCCCCCAACACTGGGAGCATGCCGCCCCGTATACATCATAGTCCCCCCAACACTGGGAGCATGCTGCCCCGTATACATCATAGTCCCCCCAACACTGGCAGCATGCTGCTCTGTATATATGATGGGGAATCCTCTCACCTTCTCACATTCTCTCCTCTTCCCCCTCTCTATATTTTCACCATTTCCGGTTTGGAGTCATCGTGACGTCACCGGGAAGAGGAGGAGAGGGGAGGAGTCTGCGGAACTTTCATTGGGAAATCCTCGGAGTGGGTGGGCGGGGTCTTTGTCTGCCGGGTGGGCGTGGTTCTGTGTTCTGTCTTTAACCCCATCACTGCCGCTGGGAGACTGAGAGGGCCGATGTTACATTGTGTGTGCGATAATAATCGTCACCGATTGCCGATCACGGCTCCTACAGCCGGGGAACCTTCCGTCATCAGAGCAATGGCCGTGTTACATTGTATCCTATAACAGACTGCAATGGCCGTGTTACATTGTATCCTATAATACACACACGGTTTCAAACAAATTACACTTTGTAATCCAAGTCTAGCATCGTCGATGAACCTCCTGGGATATGGATCTGGTCAGGTAAGTCGCAGAGGATCTGGTCAGGTAAGTCACAGAGGATCTGGTCAGGTAAGTCGCAGAGGATCTGGTCAGGTAAGTCACAGAGGGGGTTGTTCATCAGTTTCAGCTGCTTTGGTGTTCATGAAATTAACATCAGGTGCACTAGATGGGCAACAATGAGACGACCCCCAAAACAGGAATGGTTTTACAGGTGACATTTTTTCCCTACTCACCTTTTCTGACTGTTTTTCACTTGTTTTGCATTTGGCTCGGGTCAGTGTCACTACTGGTAGCATGAGGAGATACCTGGACCCTACAGAGGTTGTACAGGCAGTCCAACTCCTCCAGGATGGGACATCAATACCTGCCATTGCCAGAAGGTTTGCTGTGTCTCCCAGCACAGTCTCAAGAGCATGGAGGAGATTCCAGGAGACGAGAGCATGGAGGAGATTCCGGGAGACGAGAGCACGGAGGAGATTCCGGGAGACGAGAGCACGGAGGAGATTCCGGGAGACGAGAGCACGGAGGAGATTCCGGGAGACGAGAGCACGGAGGAGATTCCGGGAGACGAGAGCACGGAGGAGATTCCGGGAGACGAGAGCACGGAGGAGATTCCGGGAGACGAGAGCACGGAGGAGATTCCAGGAGACAAGAGCACGGAGGAGATTCCAGGAGACAAGAGCATGGAGGAGATTCCAGGAGACAAGAGCACGGAGGAGATTCCGGGAGACAAGAGCACGGAGGAGATTCCAGGAGACAAGAGCACGGAGGAGATTCCAGGAGACAAGAGCATGGAGGGGATTCCGGGAGACAAGAGCACGGAGGAGATTCCAGGAGACAAGAGCCCTACAAACTGACCTCCAGCAGGCCACTGGTGGGAATGTCTCTGACCAAACAATCAGAAACAGACTTCATGAGGGATTGGCCTGAGGGCCCGACGTCCTCTAGTGGGCCCTGTGCTCACTGCCCGGCACCATAGAGCTGGATTGGCATTTGCCATTGAACCCCAGAATTGGCAGGTCTGCCACTGGCACCCTGTGCTTTTCACAGATGAGAGCAGGTTCCCCCTGAGCACATGTGACAGACGTGAAAGGGTCCTGGAGAAGCCGTGGAGAACGTTCTGCTGCCTGTAACATGGTTCAGTATGACCGTTGTGGTGGTGGTGGGTCAGTGATGGTCTGGGGGGGCATCTCCAGGGAGGGACACACAGACCTCTACAGGCTAGACAATGCCACCCTGACTGCCATTAGATATGGGGATGAAATCCTTGGATCCATTGTCAGACCCTACACTGCTGCAGTGGGTCCTGGATTCTCCTGGTGCGGTGTGTCCTGGGTTCTTCCTGGTGCGGTGTGTCCTGGGTTCATCCTGTGTGGGGTGTTCCTGGTGCGGTGTGTCCTGGGTTCTTCCTGGTGCGGTGTGTCCTGGGTTCTTCCTGGTGCGGTGTGTCCTGGGTTCTTCCTGGTGCGGTGTGTCCTGGGCACCCTCCTGGTGCGGTGTGTTCCTGGGTTCCTCCTGGTGCGGTGTGTCCTGGGTTCCTCCTGGTGCGGTGTGTCCTGGGTTCCTCTGGTGCGGTGTGTCCTGGGTTCCTCCTGTAACAGTGTGTCCTGGGTTCCTCCTGGTGCAGTGGGTCCTGGGTTCCTCCTGGTGCAGTGGGTCCTGGGTAGACAATGGCAACCCTGACTGCCAGTTTGGTAGATATGGGGATGGGTCCTGGGTTCCTCCTGGTGCAGTGGGTCCTTCCTCCTGGTGCAGTGGTCCTGGGTTCCTCCTGGTGCAGTGTGTCCTGGGTTCCTCCTGGTGCAGTGGGTCCTGGGTTCCTCCTGGTGCAGACAATGCCCGGCCTCATGTGAGGAGAGTATGCAGGCAGTACCTGTAGGATGAAGGAATTGATACCATTGAATGGCCCCCACGCTCGCCTGACCTAAATCCAATAGAACCCCTCTGGGATGTCATGTTTTGGTCCATCCGACGCCGCCAGGTGGCACCTCAGACTGTCCAGGAGCTCAGTGATGTCCTGGTCCAGATCTGGGAGAAAATCCCCCAGGACACCATCCGTGGTCTCATTAGGACCATTAGGGCCATTCTGAGTTGCTGCAATGACATTTCACCAACATGGACTCGCCTGCTGCATCATTTTTTCGCTTTGATTTTCGGGGTGTCTGTGAATTCAGTCCTCTGTAGGTCGATCATTTCCATCAAACACGATGGGGCGTCCTTGCGTTCCTCACCCATCCCCCCGTCAATGTCAGTATAGAGATCCAGCAGGAGATTCCTCCCCATTGGGGTCTGATGGGTTTTCAGAGTCTTCCTCTCATTTTATTTGAGCCGTGTATGAAGGTAGGTTGTAGTCGGGTGATCAGTGGGTGTGGTAGGCTGGCCATTCACTATACAATTTTTGCCCAATTTCCTTCAGATTTACCTTCCACTATGCAAATATAATAATTGAAAGCGTTGTCTAGGTTTCACCTATTATATGGTTTTTGGTAAATCCTATGCCGGTTATAGACGGGTCGAAAATCGGCCGATTTTTCGGCCGGAAAAAAAATTGGTCAATTTTCGCACCGTTGGTGGTTTAATTGGTTGGCCGTTTTTTGGGCTTTTTGCACATTTTTTTTATCGGGCATGTTGGAAAATTTGCGGCCGATTGATGGGCAAATCGGCCGATCGTTTTACCAATAAAAAATCTGCGCATGAGCCGTGACCTGGAAGAAGAGAAAAAGAAGAAGAATTCCAGTCCGCTATTATATTTTATATGGAAAGTCTTGCGGTTTCAACAATGTATCCAAATAAAACCATCTGTATCTGAAATGGATACAAATGGATACATTGTTGCAACCGCAAGACTTTTCATATAAAATATAATAGCGGACTGCAATTCTTAGGGACAGAAGTAATTATGGGGTTAAATGCCGGCCGTAGGCGGGCCGAAAATCGGCCGATTTTTTTACCGTTGGTGGTAACGTCGGCCGATCGAACGACCAATTTTTCGTTTTTTGTTTTTTTTTTTAAATGGCCGGTTTTCGACCCGTCTATGGCCTGCTTTAACCAAGAATCTCCAGAAAATTGTATAATGTATGGCCAGCCTTAGCAGGTGGCACACAGCCCCTGTCTAGGTGAGCTGCCCCGCCCCCGCCCTGTGTATTGCCTGCAGCTGTCTCGTCAGTAAGTGCATTATGTGGCGGGTTGGAGCAGTGCTGGAGGGGACGGGGCTCTGCAGGCGGAGCAGGTGACAGGCGCAGAGCGTTGCATTTTTCATGAGTGCGATTATCGCAGGATTCATCCATTTTCCGTCTCCCAGTAATTTCATCTTTACAGCTGAACTCCAGGCTGGGAAATATTTCTGCTGATGTAACTGCAGAGAATCCGTGATCCTGAAAATGTTCTTATGTTTAGATTCTCGCATATAGAGTGGGAAAGAGTGTCAGCTCCTGGGGTTCCCTTGCTATGGAGGATGCATACCTGAAGGTGTGACCTCATCAGTCTTCTGCTGCTCCTTCATTGCTCAGTCAGCAGCAGACAGGCAATTGGTCTCCCGGACAAGTTAGGATGCCTAAAGGGAACCCGTCACCTTATTCGTTCCCCTCCCCCCCCCCGCTCTAATACTTGTTCATCTGCAGGACCATTGCGTAATATGGGGTGTTTTGGGGGGGGGGGGGTTGGTTATGGGGGGCATCTGACCCTCTTTCCAGGGGGACAGTGTAGGAGTGCGGAATTGGCCAAATGTTCAGACAGGGAACACACAATAACCTGGAATTTGCTGACCGCCGATATTGGATTGACATTGCATTGTGTATGGGAAGAAGAAGCCGTGCATATAGGGGCGGACTGACCATTCCAGCTTTCAGGCACTGCCCGAGGGCCCGGGGTCAGTAGGGGGCCCCATGAAATGCCCCTGGTACCTTTTTGATAAGCTTTTTTGGGTGTGCTTTGAGTGTGGGCAAGGACACAGGGGCCCCATGATCCCCTATTGCCTGGGGGCCCCATGAGTTGTCAGTCCGCCCCTGCGTGCGTACAATACGAAGAAATACAAAGGACAGCGGCTGCTAGATGCAAACTACAAATTGGCCACTAGGCGGCAGCACAGTACAGCAAGGGTGGTCAGTTGGAGAAGGATGGAGGACCCCAAGTGTGGCCCCCGAGACTTCCAGAGGGCCCCACAGTAGCAACATAGAATTTTTTGTGCATTTCATTAAGTTAGGCAGCTTTTTAGAGATGAATGAACTATAATGTACCTCCACGACAAAAGAGTTCGGTCTTGTTGCATGTTTTGCATTGAACAGCAACGCAGGCTGAAGAAGTGGGATGGCAATAACCCCCAGCATTGGTGTCAGTGAATGCAATAGTAACCCCAGCATTGGTGTCAGTGGATGCAATAATAACCCCCAGCATAACCCCAGCATTGGTGTCAGTGGATGCAATGATAACCCCAGCATTGGTGTCAGCGGATGCAATAATAACCCCCAGCATTGGTGTCAGCGGATGCAATAATAACCCCAGCATTGGTGTCAGTGAATGCAATAATAACCCCCAGCATTGGTGTCAGTGAATGCAATAATAACCCCAGCATTGGTGTCAGTGAATGCAATAATAACCCCAGCATTGGTGTCAGTGGATGCAATAGTAACCCCAGCATTGGTGTCAGTGATGCAATGATAACCCCAGCATTGGTGTCAGTGAATGCAATGATAACCCCAGCATTGGTGTCAGTGAATGCAATGATAACCCCAGCATTGGTGTCAGTGAATGCAATGATAACCCCAACATTGGTGTCAGTGAATGCAATGATAACCCCAGCATTGGTGTCAGTGGATGCAATGATAACCCCAGCATTGGTGTCAGTGGATGCAATGATAACCCCAGCATTGGTGTCAGTGGATGCAATGATAAACCCCAGCATTGGTGTCAGTGGATGCAATGATAACCCCAGCATTGGTGTCAGTGGATGCAATGATAACCCCAGCATTGGTGTCAGTGGATGCAATGATAACCCCAGCATTGGTGTCAGTGGATGCAATGATAACCCCAGCATTGTTGTCAGTGGATGTAATGATAACTCTAACATTGGTGTCAGTGAACATAATAAAAAAAACAGGCTGGGACTTGTACTGTGGATGGAGATATCGTCTCCCACAGAATTGTCTTTCTTTCAGTTCCAGAAACTGGAACACAGAGTTCCGGCACCCGCCGGGCACCCTGCTGCCATTCTGTGGCCTGATTGGTGGCCGGTAGCCTATGGGATGGCAGGTTGTATGTTGGGCACCTGGGCAGTACAGTCTCTGATACCCATTAGGTACACATGCCTACCTGCCTGTCCCTGGAGATAGCGCCCCTCTCAGGGAGGTTGGCTGTATATGGTTGCCCAGGTGGGCGACTGCAGAGGTCCCTCCACAGGCATGTGGCAGGAGGAGTCTCTGGTCAGTATACCCGAGCGAATGGCTGCAGACGCAGGACCCTTCCATGTGAGGCTCAGGACTCCGTAGACAATAGGCTCTCTCTGTAGTGATGAGTCTTCTCAGGAACCTGCATTCTGTTGTGATCCAAGCTGGCCGCCATGTATTAAAAAATGTTAATAAAATCATCCTAAAGTGGCCACAAAGTCACGGATGGACTTATTGCCCAGGTGGCCACCTATCACGGGACCACGCTTGGAGTCACTGAGCTCCTGAGAGCGACCCATTCTTTCACCAATGTTTGTAGAAGCCGTCTGCATGCCTAGGGGCTTGATTGTATACACCTGTGTCCATGGAGGGGATTGGAACACCTGAATCACATGATTGGGAGGGGAGAACACCTGAATCACATGATTGGGAGGGGATTGGAACACCTGAATCACATGATTGGGAGGGGATTGGAACACCTGAATCACATGATTGGGAGGGGATTGGAACACCTGAATCACATGATTGGGAGGGGGATTGGAACACCTGAATCACATGATTGAGAGGATGATTGGAACACCTGAATCACATGATATGGAGGGGATTGGAACACCTGAATCACATGATTGGGAGGGGATTGGAACACCTGAATCACATGATTATGGAGGGGATTGGAACACCTGAATCACATGATATGGAGGGGATTGGAACACCTGAATCACATGATATGGAGGGGATTGGAACACCTGAGTCACATGATATGGAGGGGATTGGAACACCTGAATCACATGATATGGAGGGATTGGAACACTGAGTCACATGATATGGAGGGGATTGGAACACCTGAATCACATGATATGGAGGGGATTGGAACACCTGAGTCACATGATATGGAGGGGATTGGAACACCTGAGTCACATGATATGGAGGGGATTGGAACACCTGAGTCACATGATATGGAGGGGATTGGAACACCTGAGTCACATGATATGGAGGGGATTGGTACACCTGAATCACATGATATGGAGGGGATTGGAACACCTGAGTCACATGATATGGAGGGGATTGGAACACCTGAGTCACATGATATGGAGGGGATTGGAACACCTGAGTCACATGATATGGAGGGGATTGGAACACCTGAGTCACATGATATGGAGGGGATTGGAGCACCTGAGTCACATGATATGGAGGGGATTGGTAACACCTGAGTCACATGATATGGAGGGGATTGGAACACCTGAGTCACATGATATGGAGGGGATTGGTACACCTGAATCACATGATATGGAGGGGATTGGAACACCTGAGTCACATGATATGGAGGGGACTGGAACACCTGAATCACATGATATGGAGGGGATTGGAACACCTGAGTCACATGATATGGAGGGGATTGGTACACCTGAAAGATCACATGATATGGAGGGGATTGGAACACCTGAGTCACATGATATGGAGGGGATTGGAACACCTGAGTCACATGATATGGAGGGGATTGGAACACCTGAGTCACATGATATGGAGGGGACTGGTACACCTGAATCACATGATATGGAGGGCGGGGACAATACTTTGGGCAATGTAGTTTATATCCTTTGGGAATCTCCAGGAGAATTTTGGGAGTAGACTTAAAGAAGCCCATTCAGTAGATATGATTTGCCATTGTGCACAACCACTGGTAGGCTCCAGGTTACCAACAGCCACACATAAAATGATCCTAAAGTGGCCACAAAGTCATTACAGCAGCTCCTCATCAGATAGAGCGATGCCTGAAATACAGCAGAAGAACAAAAGAGGGCGCTTCTAAGTGCAGCAGAAAACAAATGTATTATTAAAAGAGTAAATATCCAATCACATGACTATGAAGAGGAATGCATTTTATTCTTCATACCCATGTGAGCGGTTATTGACTCTATTTGATTATATTTTTATATATACTATTTATACTTTTATATTAATAAATGTGTTTTCTGCTGCACTTAGAGGCGCCCTCATGTGTTCTTCTGTATCTTCTATACTAGTCAATCACCAGGCCTGCACACTGTGAGGTGGGTGTGGGGAGAAGGTCTATGATCCTGTGTATGCTCCAACACAGGGAAGTATAGGGGAGGTATCAGTGGGCTCTCTGCCCCTCTCCCCCTCTCTGATAAGTCCACCTTCAAGGCACACATCCCATCGTGTTCTGGGAAATTTGACAATGTAACAATTGCTCGTTTTTCTTGCATCTTCTGGTCATCTTTACACCAATATTTTTTTTTTATATAAATGCAGGTCGAATGTGATTCATTCCTAAAAAACAGCAATTCAGGAAAATACTGCAATATGACCAGCAGGTGGAGCTGATGATCACAATACTGTAAAATGTATTTCTTCGGATCCTCAGCTCCATCTAGTGGCCATTATGCAATTTTTTTTTCCTGAACAAAATTAATAGTGAATAATCTTCGACCTGCACAGAAAATAAAAGGAGCTGCCAAGGAGAAACAACACTTATGTGGAATAGAATTTTAGAATCTAGGAAATCCTCGGTCAGGTGTGGGGGAGATTTGTCACAGGGAGGGGGGGAGGGGAGAGAGAGGGTTCATAGACAGCAAAAATAAATGACAGAGCCTTAAAGCTCAACACAAAACCAAAATCAAGAATATGAGGAGAGGACCTCCAACTAAGTGGAGGAAATTCAGAACTAATCTCAGAAAGTATTATTTACTGAAAGAGTAGTTGATGCCGGGAATAGACTTCCAGCAGAGGGAGGGAGCCAACAGGAAATAGCTTCAAACATGCGAGGGACAAACAGATCTATACAGTTAACAAACACGAAAAAACAAAAAACAAAACAACCGCCCTCGAAAAAAAAAAAAACAGCACAAAAACACACAAAGAAACAAAAAAAAACAACAACCCCCCAAAAACAACCCGGGTATGGGGTCACACTGGTGCTGGGTAAGGGGTTGTGCTGGTGCCGGATATGGGGTCGCGCTGGTGCCGGATATGGGGTCGCTCTGGTGCCAGGGTATGGGGTCGCTGCTGGTGCGGGGTATGGGGTCATGCTGGTGAGGGGTATGGGGTCATGCTATCCTCCTGGGTAAATGCACCTTTCTCCTACCTCCACTCTTAACTCCAAAACGCATTGACTCCTGCTATATTCAGAACAAATGGTGTATTTATATTTGTGTATATGTTGACCAGTCCTCACCTCCAGCTGCACCCGTTTCACGATTGGTGTCTGTTTCCTGAGCGAATCATCCCCCACTACTCATGTGATCTTTATCAGCTTCTAATTGGGGTGGAGTTGAATGGTCATTTGAGCATCTCCCTATAAATTTTGATCAGCTCATGGGGGAGATCTCTGATGGGGGGCACACAGTCAGCTTGATTGGGGTGTGCATAAAGAAGCAGTTTCAGCTTGATTGCGGCTTAGAACGAGTGCATAAAGAAGCAGTTAAACGCAGCAGTGAGTGCGGCTTAGAACGAGTGCATAGAAGAAGCAGTTAAACGCAGCAGTGAGTGCGGCTTAGAACGAGTGCATAGAAGAAGCAGTTAAACGCAGCAGTTGAACTCAAGCAGCAGAAGACACAACAACAGCCAGAAGCTCTACTGCATGCTGGAAGACTGCAAGCAATCACCCTGGGAAACCTCTTACATGCCTGAGTCCCACTCCGTGTGTACCTTTTATATAATACACCCCCTCTTCTCCTTATCATATTACTATCCTCTGTTCCCAAATCTCATTTCTTTACCCCTCTGCTCCACCCACAACCTGTACATCTCCTCCTCACTGCTATCATCTCCCTACTATTGCTCTCTTCACCTCCCCAAAATGTCTCTTCCACTCTCCTTCTCATTTTTCCTCTCCTCCATTCCCAAAATCCATTCACTATATCCCTCTGCCCCTCCCAAACATTTGTATATCGTGTCCTCACTGCTTCCCTCACCCCTCTATGGCACCCACCACCTCCTCCTATTAGTCCACTCTCCCACTGACCCCAACACCTCCACTAGGAGTTTCTCACGCTCCTGCACATCCCGCTCCCATGCCACCTTTCTCACCCTTCTCCTCCTAGCCGCGGGGGACATCTCCCGAATCCTGGCCCTCCACCTCCCTCACCCGCTCAACACCCTCCCACCTCCACGTCCTACTGCAACCCCCACAACTTAGTAACTGTCCCCCTGCTCCCTAAAATCTCCCCCCCCATTTTCATGTGCACTCCTGAATGCCCGATCGGTGTGCAACAAGCTTACCGCCATCCACAACCTCTTTGTTTCCCTCAACCTCCTAGCGATCACACGGAAACCTGGATCCAGCCCACTGACTCTACCTCCCCTGCTGCACTCTCCTATGGAGGTCTCACCTGGACCCACTCACCCAGGCCTAACGGTCGTAAAGGTGGTGGGGTTGGTCTGCTCCTGTCACCGCAGAGCACCTTCCGAGTCCTCTCAAACCCCCCCTCCCTATCCTTCTCCTCCTTCGAGGCCCACTGCGTCTGACTATTCTCCCCAACCCCCCTGAAGATTGCTGTGATATACCGGCCTCCTGGATCCATACCCCGCTTCCTGGATGACTTCTCCTCCTGGCTACCCTTTTTCCTCTCCTCTGAGCTACCCACCATAATTCTTGGGGATTTCAACATCCCTGTCAACCTCGACAACCCGGACACAGCCCGTCTCCTCCACTTCACCTCCTCCTTTACACTTGCACAGTGCATACAATCCACCACCCACTCCGACGGAAATATCCTGGACCTTGTCTTCTCCAACCGCTGCGCTCCCCACAACCTCACTAACATCCCCTTCCCTCTCTCTGACCACAACCTGATCACCTTCTCTGTCTCCTCGTCCTCCAACGCCTACCCCTCCAAATGTCACACTACTACCAGCCGGAACCTCCGCAACCTTAACCCTGCCCCCCTCCACTCTGCAGCTGATCAACTCCACGACCGCATCCTCCCCCTGTCCTGCCCCGACTTGGCTTTGACCGCCTACAACAATGCGCTCTCAACAGCCCTTGACTCACTAGCGCCTTTAACCACACGCAACATCAGACCCCCGACCGCTCCAGCCCTGGCAGACTGATCACACCAAAACCCTCAAACGACAAAGTCATGCCCTGGAGCGACTATGGCGCAAAACCAAATCCCAACAAGCCTTCACCCGATACAAATCTGCCTTCCACACCTACACCTCCTCCCTCCACGCAGCCAAACAGGCCTACTTCCTGACCCTCATCAAGGCCCTCTCCTCCAATCCTCGCCGACTCTTCTCCACCTTCAACTCTCTACTCTCTCCACCCCCACCTCCACCCAGCACCTCACTCACTGCCCTTGAGATTGCCAATCATTTCAAAAACAAAATTGACACAATTCGCAAGGACATTGCCCACACGCCCTCTCAACCTGTCCCCTCTCACACAGCTACCCCCTTATCCCCCCCCTCCCCCTCGACATAACCCACAGGGACTTCATCACTGCTCAAACTCTCTCCAACCCCCTTCAACCTCACTCAGCTCATGCTACCCCCTCATCACCCCTCTCCCACGGCCCCACCACTGCTCTGACCTCCTCTTCCACCCCACCCCACATCCCTCATACTGAAGCTCCCCCAACAACACTCCGCACCTTTGACCTTACTACCATCGAGGAAGTCTCCAAGATCCTCTCTGATGCCTGCCTCACCACCTGCCCCCCTCGACCCTATCCCCTCACAACTCCTACGACCTCCCTCCTCCTCCATCCTACGCTCCCTC